CTGGGACTACAGGTGCCAGCCACAATGCCTGGCTATTTTTAGAGATGGTGTCTCACTCTTGCTCAGGCTGGTCTCCAACCTGTGAGCTCAGGTAATTCACGCACCTCAGCCTCTCAGAGTATTAGAATTACAGGTGTGAGCCAGCTCACCTGGCCCGATTTTTTTTTTTTTGAGACAGAGTCTCACTCTGTCACCCTGGGTAGAGTGCCATAGCATCACCATAGCTCACAGCAACCTCAAACTCTTGGGCTTAAGCAATCTCTTTCCTCAGTCTCCCAAGTAGCTGGGACTACAGGTGCCCACCACATGCCCAGCTAAATTTTCTATTTTTTATTTTTATTTTTATTTTTGAGACAGCCTCACTACGCCTCCCTTCATAGAGTGCTGTCCATCACAGCTCACAGCAACTTCTAATTCTTGGGCTTAAGCAATTCTCTTGCCTCAGCCTCCAAGTAGCTGGAACTATAGCCACCTGCCACAACACCTGGCTATTTTTCTGTTGCAGTTGTCATTATTGTTAGCAGGCCTGGGCCAGGTTTGAATGCGCCAGCCTTGGTATATGTGGCCAGTGCTGTGACTGCTGTGCTATGGGTGCCGAGCCAATTTTTCTATTTTTAGTAGAGACAAGGTCTTGCTCTTGATCAAGTTGTTTTTGAACTCGTGAGCTCAAGCAATTCACCCGTTTTGGCCTCTCAGAGTGCTAGGATTACAGGTGTGAGTCACCATGCCTGGCCTGTAGTTGATTTCTTTGACCACTTGTGTTACATTTGTAACAAGAGATCATCATTTTTTAAAATAAAATGTGCTTCTCATTTTCCTTAACAATGGTTCTGAAACATGATTTGGGCCTTGCTGACAACCTTCCTCCTTCTACCTGTTCTCAGCCTATCCAAAAACAATAATTTTTCAGTCAGCTCAAACTCTACTCCTGTTTCAGAAAAATCTGTAAAATAACTTCTTTCATTCATTTATTTTTGGATGGGGATATAGAAGAAGCAAGTTAAAAGAACACTATTTGACAGCCTGCTAAAATTAAAGACATTCCAGTTGGCAGTGATTGTTTCTTCTCTCATCTTCTATATACTACAGTGTTTATTTTCTGGTTCGTTCATTCATTCACTATTGAGCCTTCCCTTCATTCCAGATAATGTAATGGGGTAGAGGATGCAAAGAGAACTACCAAGGCATGTTTCTAGCCCTTAAGTTACTCAGAACCCAGTAAAGGGACAGACATGTACACGTAATAGTAAATGTTACTGGTAGAAACCAGTCTTATTTACATAATCATTTGGACCTTGTAGAAACGTCTGGGATGGGGATATTAACATCGGATGGATAAGCTCATCTGAAAGTTTATACAGTCTTTCTATGACTGTGACAGCTGCTATCTTATAATTAGCACTTAAAAAATTCAAGAGTGGGAGGCACCTGTGGCTCAAGGAGTAGGGTGCCAGCCCCATATACCGGGGGTGGCAAGTTCAAGCCTGGCCCTGGCCAAAACTGCAAAAAAAATTCAAGAGTGACTGAAAAATATTTTTTATGCCCTCGTAGTAGCCTATGATAGGAAGAGTTACTATTAGAAGTAGGAGAGGAATCCAGTGTATTATCATAGTTCTTTCATCATGAGCTTTTCTACATTTTAAGGGTTTGTCTCTTGGGAAAGTCTATAAGGATTACATAATTGCCATATGAAACTATAGCTTAAAAATTGTTATCTGACCAGTGCGTAGGGCACCAGCCACATACACTGAGGTTGGTGGGTTCAAACCCGGCCTGGGCCAGCTAAAAGAACAATGACAACTGTAACAACAACAAAATAGCCAGGTGTTGTGGCGGGCGCCTGTAGTCCCAGCTACTTGGGAGGCTGAGGCAAGAGAATTGCTTAAGCCCAAGCGTTTGAGGTTGCTG